TTTCCCAGATTATCTAGAAAAGACTGAAGTGGCCTTGATCCGGCATGAAGGATTTTCGGTTGCCCGTTTGGGAAATTGGTTGAAGAAGATAGATTTAACACTTGCTGTGGATTTCCTTTATTATCTGCTGCATAATGTCAAGCTGTATAAAAAGTGCTTCTGAGTAGCAAGAAATTTTATTGCTGTGCAATTGAAGGTGTAGGTGACTCAGCAATTGTTTTAAGATGCAGGTGATTCTGAAGTTTTGTAGAAAGAATTGTCACTTAGCTATCAGAATAGTTGCTGATAATTTAGTTCATTAAATGTAGTTGTTAGTCTTTGGTCACCACTGGGATGATGGCATGATTCCATGTGGTAACTGTTGTGGTTGTGTTTGTTAAGGTTGTGAGTTACTTATTGCATATAGAACTAAAATCATTAAATATAAGTCTATAAGAAATAATGCATTACAACAGGCACAGAAACAGTTGTTATAGGTTATTGTTCTCATTCTGTGATGACCTTTTTAGCTTCAAGTCTAGTTAAGAGTTTAAGAGAATTCTGAGTTTCTGCCGTATCTAAAACAGTTTGCAGGCTGAATTAATCATGCTGTTTTAATTTCGGTTATACTGTATGGCCTGTGATTTGTTACAGTTGAAATGATATCAGAGGAGCAAAAGGATCAGTGGCACATCAGCCTTCCTGAAATTGAGAGGCTTTCATGGTAAATGCACTAAAATCTGTTGACACTGACTGTGAAGTTATAATTCTTCAAATATCAAATGGAGCCATAACTGAATGAATTATTGCTTTTGCAATATCAGAGCCTGTCGTATCACACCTCCTAACAGTTCGATCACTGTGACCTATAGCGGAGTGCACACATGAATTTATTATCTTTGTATGGTTTGATGCACATACATCATTTGCCAAGAATTTAGACAAAATGTCAACATCCTTTACCTTCATACTTCTGATCAGGTATGACAGCTCGGGCAAACCATTCTTTAAATTTGTGTCTAATCATGCGAATCTCTTGTTTCCTTTTGTTTGGAGTTAAAAAATACTTCCACTGAATGTATACATGACTGTATGATTGAAATTAAAATTTATGTGGATTTTTTTAACAAATTTCTCCTAATATTGTATTTTGGTGTTGCATATTCATCATTTACATGGATGCTAGAAGATTCAATAGGAACTTTAATAAAATTAATCTTTTTGAAATATGCCTTGATAAATTATATACGTTTTATTACCTCCTTCCAAAAAGATCAATACTTGTAAAGATCTAGGTGTTGAAATTTAAAGAAATGGCTGTGTGCTTGGACTGCAAATGAACAAGCAAATTTTTTCTGTGTGGAGGAAATGCCAGCCTCTATATAAGCATTTTTCATCAAACAATGAATATGAGGATTTAAAAGTTGCTTAACTTTTGAATTTTTAAAAGCCTGCTCTTGATGATCAGTATCTCAAAGGAATATTATGGGGTTTTTAAAGGCCTTGCATAATGTTTTGGGGGTTTATTTTTTGAATTTTAGCAGAATTTTTTATTTAAAAGTTTTTTTTTTCCCATGCACAATTGTTCGTGTTCTCTATTTTTTTATTAGAATTTGATATTTTTAAAATTAATTGTTAGTATTACATCTGATATAAAGTGCGAGCCTTATATAAAGATAAAAAAAGGTTATGACTGCTTATAATAGACACAGAAGTACACTGCACAAAAAAAGGGGGGGGACAGTTTCTTCATTATTGCAGATTCTTCATTATTTAATTTCTTCAAATATAATACAGGGCGATAGTATTTGATGGCAACGATTTGAAAAGTGATACAGCCTTTTTAAAGTTTTCAGCGCAAAATCGCAATTCGAAAAAAATAATCCTTCGGGAACAGGTAAGAGTTGGCCTTAGAACAGGCCCCTTTCGACTAAAAAAAAGGACATTTCTATACATCCCGTTCTATTGTGCTGATTGACGAAATTCAACTTGCGTTTTTCATGTCTCGAAAGCGTGATTTAGGATATGTATTAGATTTTTATATAGCATTGTTCTAATATAGGTATTTTGACACAATATCAGACTTTTTCTGAAATAACATATGCATTTTTTTCCATATTTCGATTCTGCAACTCAAATTATGCCAAACTACAAAGTTTTGTAAAAATTGCACAATTAGTTTTTAAAAAATTAGCTCTCAAAATTTTAGCTCCCCTATGTTAATTGAGTTTGGTATATATTTATTAATCTCTTTTTTTTTTTTTTTTTATTAAGCTTATTTGATTCTTCCTTTCACATTTCGAAATTCAGGTTCATTCCAAATTAAAATTCACCCATTTTTTATGATTTATTTTTAAAATTTGTATTTTAAAATAATTTTTATAAATTTTTCAAACAAAATTTTCAAATGTAATCGATAAAATTTTTACCATCATCGTAAAGTGGACGTATTTCTAAGTATACCTGCAAAAAATTACAATTTTTTATTCAAAATTTTTGAAGATACATGTGAATTTATTTATTGGCGCGATTTGAAATTTGGCATATTTGTTGAAAGTGATAAAACATCAGATGAGGCTTAAACACTCTGCTAAAATTATTTGGAAGGAGAAACGATATGACATTTTTTCCGCTCAGACGCAATGTGAAATGGTAGGAACGAGGTGCGTTTTTTTCCGTTTCTGCATAATAGAAGGGAAAGGAAAATTGGTTGCTATATATTAAGAAGTTCGCCGAGTGAATTATTCTTGACTAAACTGAAAAAATTTCGCCAAGATAAATTTTTGAATTTCTCTGTAAATTTCACACCAAATTTTACAAAATTTAAAGCTAGGCATAATTCGAGTTGTAGAATTGAAATATGGAAAAAAAATTGGCATGTTATTTTGGAAAAAGTCCGATTTTGTGTCAAAATACCTGTTAGAATAATGCTATATATAAATCTAATATATGTCCTAAGTCGAACTTTCAAGACATGAAAAATGCAATTTGAATTTTGTCAATCGGCCTAGTAGAATGAAAGATATATAACTGTCCTTTCTATTTTTTTTTTTTTTTTTTTTGGCTCAGTGTTCATTGTAGATATATAATGCAGCATCACTATATTTTATTATCATTTTCTTTTATTGTTGCTAGTCTCTCATTGTGCATACCTCATCAATTAAATTTTAATGCATTTTTTGTGTTAGCTAAGATATTGCTTTACATACAGCATTTAATACTTCATGCAACCATCATATGTTTTAAAATACACTCTTGAACAAAAAAAAAAGGGGGGGGGGGGGACGCATGAAGAAGGAGTTATCCGAATGGGACGAAAATCGGTAGAAGTGATGTACGTGTATAGATTACAGTTTGAGAAAAATTGGATGATTTATTGAAGTGATAGAGCTTTGCAAAGTGAAAAAGTCAATAACACGTTTGCACAGCTCTGGCTCTTATACAAGCATTAATTCGGCTTGGCATTGATTGATAGAGGTTGCAGATGTCCTCATGAGGGATATCGTGCCAAATTCTGTCCAACTGGCGTGTTAGATTGTCAACATCCCGAGCTGATTGGAGGGCCCTGCCCATAACACTCCAAACGTGCTCAATAGGAGAGAGATCTGGTGACCTTGCTGGCCAAGGTAATGTTCGGCAAGCACTAAGGCAAGCAGTAGAAACGTGCAGTGTGGGTGCGGGCATTATCTTGCTGAAATGTAAGCCCAGGGTGACATGACATGAAGGGCATCACGACGGGCCTTAGAACTTCGTTGATGTAATGATAACCAAAGGGGTCCTACTATGAAATGAAATGGCACCCCGGATCATCACTCCTGGTTGACGGCTTGTCTGCCAGAAGACAGTCAGGTTGGTGTCACACTGCTGTCTGGGGCATCTCCAGACTTGCCTTCGCTGGTCATCGAGGCTCAGTTCAAAGCAGGGACTCATCACTGAAGACTATTCTACTCCAGTGACATTCCAGTGCGAATGAACTCGACACCACTGCAAGCAGGCTTGATGTCGCACGGAGGCCAATGTTAGTCGGCGCAAGGGACATCATGACCTCAGCCCCCTTTCTATGAATGGTCCTTGCGGTCACTGAAGCACTAGTTATACATACAATCGATGATAATGATGCATCTGGGGCTGTGAGTGTTGCTCTGACGATTGCTCGGTCTTCACGTTCTGTCGTTTCTCTAGGCCTACCGCTTCCTTCTTGACGCTGTGTGCGGCCGTGTTTCACCCATTCCTGCCAACATCGTCTAATAGTGGCATCGCTCCTGCTTAAATGTCGAGCTATTCACCGATAAGACCAACTGGCTTCTTTGAGCCGAACTACACGACCTCTCTCAAATTCTGAAATCTGCGCATATCCTTTGCACACCTGTATGTGAGGCATAGTTACTGTCTACCAGAGTACACAGAATGAAATTTGTGAAGAATTTTTGACCTGGAATCGTAATTTCTCCTCTTAAATATCCTGCCAGTTGCGCAGATCAGATGTGCTGTAGCGGCAACCGTTCATTCATTGGCCGCCGAAATGTAAAATTTTTCATCTTCCATCGAAACCTGTATGAATATCAATTTGGGTCCAATTTACTTCTAGCTGCGTCTTTTTTTTTTTTTTTTTTTTTTGTCTATGAGTGTAAATTAACTACAATTGCAGAGATGGTAATTTACAAATTGTTCTTTGAAAAGAAATCACTGGACATCTGAATTATTTAGCAGAGAATTATCATACAGCATGGTAAAAAACTGAAGATCTGAAAGAATGCACTAATGAAAATAAACAAATAATTATAACATAGTTTTGGCTGCAGTTGGTTTTTAATTTGGTGCTTATATAGTAGACAAATGATACATAATTTATCAGAGGGATTTTTTCGTGTTGCTGTTAACATATCTAAAGTAGAGTGTGTAGTTGGAAAGTGTAGTTGTTGTTGTGTTGGAAAGTGTAGTTAGAAATTATTCATTTTTGAAATTTGATAAGGTAGTGTGAAAGTATAACAAACATGAACTCTGTATGTACCATTTTTCAGACTGGGACCACATGCTTTTTCCAGGGCTTATATAAATTTTCTTATACCAGAAGATATATTTACCTTTAAAGATAAATTTGATGGCTATGTTTTCTTGGATAGTAAAGGTAAGATCAAACATATATTTATCACTATATATTAGAATATTCATGTGCTATTTCTATTCTAATGAAAGATATATACTATATTTCAATTCTTATTCTAGGTAATGAATATCCAGCTATTGTTGAATTTGCTCCATTTCAGAAAATTCCTAAAAAGCGAAGCAAAAAAAGGGATGCTAAGTGTGGAACAATAACAAATGGTAATAAATATCTTTGATTAGATTGAGTTTGTTATTATATGAGTTACTTTTTAAAATATAATGAAACAAAATTATAATTTATGTTAATTATTTTACATTTTAATAAAAGTTCATACAGTCAAAAGTCGTTAATTCGGACTCCCATAATCCGGACCTCAAAGCTACAAACTTTCTGCGCATGCGTCGCGTTGACACATGCGCGTAAGACCTTTACCGCCAGGGGCGTAGCTAGAGGGGGGCAAGGGGGGCATCTGTACCCGGGCGCAGAATCCAAGGGGCGCCAAACTGACGTTACGACATTTTAGAATTAAATGTTTTCCATCCTTGGTAAGCAGTAAGGGGCGCGAAATCTTCAGTTGTCCCTGGGCGCTGAAAACCCTAGCTACGACTCTGTTTACCGCTGCAAATTTGCATGCGCAAAATACGTTTACGAATGCGCGTTTAATGTATAACGGACGGGATAAGCTAAGCTAAAATTATCTAATTTTCTATTTCAGTTAATGTTGCAGATTGCGTTGTTCCTTAATCTTTGAATTGGATCCGGATTATTATTTTTTGCAGACTGTTAGAGCAATTTTTTAAAAGTAAGCTTGAACTTTCGATTATGTCAAATAGAATTTCCGATATATATTTACTAATATGTAAATGATATACAAAGTGAAAGTATCTTTCGGAGTCCATTAAACAAAAAGTGGAATTGCTGCAAAAAATGGATAAAGGCATATCCTTTGTTTATCTAAACTTTAACATTTGTTTATCTAAACTTTGTTTATCTTTAACGCCGCGGCGCGCAATGAATTGGAAGTTGATCAGTCAGCACTGTCCTTATCTTCAGGGCAGATGTTTTTATTTTATTTGGGTTATAATTCCTTACTAAATGTAGTATTTCATCTTGATGTACTCCGTCTTTGATATGATTTAAATCAAATTCCTCGTCATTATAATTCGCTTCCGATAGCGAAGAAAGTGACAGAGGTTATTGAAAACAAAAAAATTTCGATTGACAAATTAGTCGGTAGACACAGCAATTATAGGACTTGAACAGCGGAACTTTGTAACTGAACAAGAAATTATGTCTGTTAACAAATTCTTTAAATAGAATTAAAGAGAATGTATTATCACGTAAAAAACGAAGCAACTTAAACAACTTACATTGAAAGAAATGTTTAATAAAGTAAACAAATAAATATTAAGCTTTTTTTTTTGTAAATTTTTTGATACCCTTTAGATCATAATTGTTCTTTATTTCGTAAATTACGGTTTTTCATATTTTTTAATTTTATAATTTCTGCATGCCATTTTACCAGATTTAAACTGATGATCTATAATCCGGAAAAATCGATAATCCGGAATCGCTGAAGTCCCGACGAGTCCAGATTAACGACTTTTGACTGTATCATAATATTTGCTGAAATGAACCATGGCGGGGGTACAATACTCAGCTGTCAGATTATGACATTTTTATAAGCTTTTTATTTCATTATACAGTACAAAGTCCATAATCCAGACTCGTGGGAATTTCGGCGATTCCGGATTAGGGTTTTTTCTGGATTATAGATCATCAATTTAAATCTGGTAAAATGGCATGCAGAAATTTTACAATTAAAAATATGAAACCGTAACTTATGAAATGAACAGCAGTTATGATCTAAAGGGTATTAAAATTTATATAAAAAAAGCTTAATATTTATTTGTTTACTTTATTAAACATTTCTTTCAATGTAAGTAAGTTGCTTCATTTTTCTGCGCTAATACTTTTTTTTAATTATATAAACAGACATAATTCCTTGTTCAGTTACAAAGCTCCACTGTTCAAGTCTTCAAATTTATCCATTTTTTGCAGCAATTCCACTTTTTGTTTGATGAACATCAAAACATGCTTTCGCTTTGTAGATCCTTTGGCAGCTCCAGAATTGGAAACGCTTTTTGACATAATCGAAAGTTCAAGCTTAATTTTTATAAAATTGCTCTAACAGTCTGCAAAAAATAATAAGGCAGATCCATTTAGAAGATTAAGGAACAGTTTAATCTGCAACATTAACTGAAATGCCTTTGAATCAGTAACGATAATCTTAGCCTAGCTTATACCGTCCATTATATATTAACGCTCATGCATAAATGCATTACACGTATGCGTAAAGGATACAAAAGAAAAGTTTGTGGATTTGAAGTCCGGATTATAGATCATTCCGGATAATGAATGTCCAGATTACAGACTTTGTACTGTACATATTTCTGCAATGGATATTATTAATTTCTTTTTAAAGTATGCTGATAGGAATTTATGTAATTTTGTCTGGTGTTCCAGAGTTTCTATTCTTGAAATGTGCATACTGCATAGAAATGTGTAATCTATTTTAATGTTCTTAAGCTATCCCCAAGGAAGAGAAAAAATCTTAAGCAGGTTTGGCAACCTTGGGCAGTGGCAACCGTGGGCAGGAGGTAATCCATATCTGGAAGTGAATTGTTTGCAGAAACGATAGCTGTTAAATTTTCATCGAAATATTTGTAGTATAGATTGTTTGCTTGTGATATTCATTGAATATGTCTGTACTTGCATGATAATTTACATATTTAGAAATAAAGAACTGTAATATTTTTATATAACATTAAGAAATGTGCAAATATTTATTATTTTATTTCTCAAAGCAGAAAGAACTGATGATTCTACATGACACAATGCATTCCATTGTTGCGATTAGATTGTAATATACAGGGTTCATACGGTCCTTAAAAGTCCTTAATTTTTTCAAAAATGATTTTTGGTCCTTAAAAGTCCTTAATTTTTGGCCAAAATGAATAAACGGTCCTTAATTTTGCTCATTTGACATTTCTTATCATTTCTAATGATTGCCATTCTATGTGTGAATTGTGATTTCTCATGAATATGGAATTAAAATTGCACGGCTCTTAACCAATCTGTTGGCGGATTTGCGTTGCAAACGAAAAAAAAAAAAAAAAAAAAAAAAAAAAAAATTAATTAGCTACCCTAGAACGAAAGTATCGGGTGTCTGATTGGCTATTCACCCAATCTTTTGAAACAGGTGTTATCCATAAATTTAGGCAGATTGTGACGAAAGCGGTTGAAGTTCGGAAGTTCTTTAAGAGGCGAAAAGTGATGATGAAGGTGCTCGAGAAAAAAAAGGGGGGGGATTCTGAAAATATTTGCCAAAATTAGAGCAATCCCAACCTGGAAGGCCACAACCCTTCCGACGCCAATAGGAACGAGAATGCCTGGAAAGTGCATTTCAATCAATAAACTGTGGCCTTCATCAAGCTGACTACAAAGACTGGATATTGATGGATTACAAACCTTATAAAGCTAAATGTGGTCTTTGTTTGAAACAAATTGAAATTTCTATAATGGGAGAGTCAGTGCTGAAAATTCACATGAAAATTAAGTTTCATTTTATCATTTCAATTTGTTTTTACACGGTTTTGCATAGCTTAATTTCTGTGTTTGTTTCAATTAAGCCATAAATTAATTTTTTTTTACCTTCTATGGAGTTTATTCTCTTTTTCACATACTATATGTATGGTATATCGGGATTATGAGTTTATTTCTGCAGAGGGTCTGTTATCGATTTTGCGGGAAATCTGTTGGCTCCATTTCGATTTTAGGTCGCCAAGGGCAAATTCGGTAACATTAGCCGAGAAAAAGTGAAGTTCGGAAATACGTTTTGAAGCTTCAATAGACAGTTAAGTATTTGGTTTAATCGTGTGCTGTTGATAGTAATGCATTATTTTTGCTAATGGCGATACAATTATTAGTTGAAAACAACTAATTAAAAATTTTTTAATATTTTTAAAGCTGAAAACAACTAATTGAAACTAATTTTCCTGAATTAACTAGATGCAAAATTAACTTTCATGAATTACTAAAAAGTTATTGGGTAGAAGTTTAACTGAAAATATACATTCCGTATATATATATATATATATATACAGTCAAAAGTCGTTAATTCGGACACCCATAATCCGGACCTCAAAGCTAAAAACTTTTTGCGCATGTGCCGCGTTGACACATGCGCATAGGCGTTTAAGCGTGCGCATAAGACATTTACGACTGCGTATATGCGTGTGCACAAGCGCAGAATACATTTTCACGTCCGCGTTTAATGTATAACGGACGGTATAAGCTAAAATTATCTAATTATCTATTTCAGTTAATGTTGATGATTGCGTTGTTCCTTAATCCTCGAATTGGATCCGGCTTATTATTTTTTGCAGACCTTAAGAGCAATTTTATAAAAGTAAACTTGAACTTTCGATTATGTCAAATAGAATTTTCGATGCTGGAGCTCCCAAAGGATCTACAAAACGAAAGTATGTTTCGATGTCCGTCAAACAAAAAGTGGAATTGCTGCAAAAAATGGATAAGACATGAAGAAGGTGACAGAGAGGTTAGTGAAAACGAAAAAATTTCGATTGACAAGTTAGTCAGTATTCTCGACACAGCAATTACGAGACTTGAAAAGCGGAACTTTGTAACTGAACAAGAAATTATGTCTGTTTATGGAATTAAAGAGAAAGTATTATCACATAAAATGAAGCAACTTAAACAACTTACATTGAAAGAAATATTTATAAAGTAAACAAATAAATATTAAGCTTTTTTTTTTTTTTTTTTTTGTAAATTTTGATAACCCTTTCGATCAAATGTTCTCTTTATTCATAATTACGGTTTCATATTTTTAATTTTAGAATTTTCTGCATGCCATCTTACGAGATTTAAACTGATGATCTATAATCCGGAAAATCGATAATCCGGAATCGCCGAAGTCCCGACGAGTCCGGATTAACGACTTTTGACTGTATATATATATATATATATATTTTTACAGTACAAAGTCCGAGGTCGGGGACTTCGGCGATCCCAGATTTGAGATTTTTCCGGATATTAGATCATTTTAAATCTACTTAGATGACACGTAGAAATTATAAAATTGAAAATATGAAATCGGGATTTATGAAATAATGAAGCATTTATGATTTAAAGG